GTGAATCATTGGACGGAAGATCTTCCTCTCTATCTCTCCTCTTCTCTGTATATCTGACTTTGTAATAAAAATAAATTATTTAAAAAGAAAAAAGGCTGCGATTCTGGCCCATCATTCCCACTCACCTCTTTCTGTGGGGGTCTCCGTCGCACTTTCGTTTCTTTATGCAGGTCCCTGTTCACAGGCGCCACTTGTCGCTGTCCTAGAGTGATGGACTTGGTGCATGGAGCCGATAATAACACGCACAGACTACTGACTGATGATCAACAGACTTTATACACTGAGGGTCATATAGGATAAGGGTGGAGGTATTGAGCTTATCAATAAGCTCATCAACTGTTTCTATGCTTTTGTTTGGAACTCCTTTTGTCTTGTATATTCCACCAAGTGTTCCCATACACATGCTGTCCTCTAAACTGTTCTTACACAAAAAATATCCCATCAGGTGTACAAAAGGCAGCCATTCGGTTGTTCTCATGCAAAGGATATCCAATCAGGCACACAAAAGGCACCTCCTACAGGTGGTCCTTGGACTATCTGCTGCTGCTTCCCAGGGTGAGCGTTAGCAAGAAGCTGGAATAAGAAGCAGAGCTGAGACTCAGACCAAGGCTCTCAGAGGTGGGGTACAAGTGTCCCATTCCTCGTCCCCGTCTTAACTGCAGAGCCAAGTGTGTCCCGGCACTGACGCTGGGGCCGCTCTGCAGGCCCAGGGCAGCAGGTGAAGCTGATGTTGTTGGTGGAGGTGGCCTTTGCACTGCCTGCTCCCTCTGCAGGGAGCCCTGTGGCTTCTCTAGGCTCTGCTCTCAGCAACTGCTGTCAAGTCAGGTTTCCCAACCTCCATGCCAGGCTGGTCCCCCAGAGCCCTCCCTCCCTCCCTCCCCACCAATACATCATTTTCCAGAGCATGCTGTGCCCCTGAACCAGTGCTTGTCTTCAAGCTTGTTTCCCACCTGTCAGCCCCCAGTCCCGGTGATGGTGGTTGTCCTTGTTCCCTGTCTGGCAGGTGGTGGACGTTCAGAATCTGCTGGCAGCTGATGACACTGAAGAGGAGCAGCCCAAGAAAGGAGACAGATGAGGATGCCTGGGGCCAACAAACCCAAGGGTGTAATAGAGCAAACACGAGAACACCAGCATAGAGCTCTGGACCTGGGGCTGTGGGGAATAGGTGCAGAAGTGCCAGGCAACTGGCTGTCTGCTCTCCTGAGTGGCAATGAGGGGCTGCTGTCACGGCCACAAGTTAGGGATCCTCAGCTGAAAGCTTGGTGCCATGGGCAGCACCGCCATGAAGCCACGGCCACTCCCCATGGCTGCTCCCCACGGCCGCTCCCACTCCTGTCTGTAGTGGCCTGTGGGCCCCACCCCACCCCCACTGCCTTCATGTTGTCCTCTTGCTGCTCTACTAGTTTGCTTTTTAAAAATAATAACAATAAAGTTTTATTTATTTGAAAGGTCAAACTGACAGGGAAAAGGGATACAGAGAAATCTTTCACCTCCTGTTTTATTCCCAAATGGCCCAGCTAGGGGTGGGCGAGATTGAAGCCAGAAGCCTGGGACTCCATCTGGGTCCCTCATGTGAATACAGTGACACAGGCGCATGGGCCGTCTTATGCTGCTTTCCCAGGTGCACCAGCAGGGAGCTGGATTGCAAGTGGAGCAACTGGGACTCCAACCAGTGCCCACTGGGATGCTGGCACTGCAGACAGAGGCTTTATGTGCTATGCCATGGCAACAGCCCCCTAATGTGATCTTATATATTTGGGCTGGTTCTTCCCAAATTTCTCTCTCTCTCTGATATTGTTGCCTTCCCAGGGTAAAGGACGCCTCCAACCATCTGTTTTGCTGAGGTGGTGGCTTGCCATGAAGCTTTGCAGTACAGGTAAGACTCTGGTGGCTGGGGTGGAGGAGCAGTCTGACCCCAAAGTCCCCACCTGCAGAGCTGGAAGACTGAATCAAGCTGTGGATTTCCCCATGCATGCCCTCTCATGCCCTGAAACTGCCCATGTCACCAGGGTAATGGATGCCACCAATGAGAGGCCATGCTCACTCCAGGAATAAACAGTTCTTTTGCCTGTATTCCCCATGGCCCCTGATCTGGTTTCTTACTGTGCCCACAGACACCTGGTCCAATCCTTTTCACCCACTAGGTGTGATATCCAAGTCAAGTGCTTACAAGAACCCTACCAAGGTAGGTGGCATTGCCATCATTTCATAGGTGTTGCTGCCAAGTTAATCTGCAACCAGGTCTGATTGGCCTTCTATTCTAGCTGGTATGTGGCTGGAAGGGGCTTGGTGAGGGGTGGGGGGGTTCCAGTTTCAGGAAGGCTTGACAATAACTGCAGTTCCCCACGGGGCCACCAGGTGGCTTTGCACACTCTCTTCCAGGTAAGACTCCTTCACCTGTCCTGGGAATCTTGGGGCGTTTGGATGGTGATATAGGTAATTGTTACATCTAAGGCCTTCTTCCATGGCTGGGGGTCTAGCATCACTGGAGCCCGCATGCTCAGCCCAGACTATTCATCATTTGTGTTCAGGGATTGTGCCTGGTGCTCAACTCTCTGTGGGTTCTAGGGACGGATAATCTGGCTGCATCCCTGTTTTCCACATCCGCTCAGCATTTGGCGAGCGCTTATTGTTTCCCAGGCACTGGGTAAAAAACCCTGCCCCCTTCCAGGCACTTTCATTCTGATGGGGAGAGATGGGCACGGTAGATACAAGAATATCAGATAGGGCAGTGGGAGAGTCTCCCAGCCGAGAGGGGCAAACACGTACAGCAACAGTCCCAGCATAGCCGACTGTCCGCTTAATAAACACCTGCTTAGATCCTCACTAGGTGTAGGAGACAGCATGGCTGTAGCTTTCATGCAGCTGGGAAGCAACTGATTCTTCCGACATGATGTGCGCAAGAAGCAGGTGATGTGATGGGCAATAACCAGGAGACCCCTGCCTACAGGGAGCTTGTGGGATGGGCTGGAGGGGAGCCGTGAGACAGCTTGTGGAGTGCTGAGTGACCTTGGGGGGGGGCGGCTCAAAGGAAGAGGGGGAGGAAGGAAGCCTGTACATCTGGAGCCAGGCAAAGGGGTTCTGAGTGAGGAGAGGAAAGCAGGAAGATTCACTTGGCCAGGGACAGCTGTGAGCTGGAAGCCAGCAAGGCCTCCTGGGAGACCTGCCAAGTGGAGAAGGGGCTGGAGAACAGGAATCCCATGAGAAGGCATTGTGGTCATTGTGGCAAGGGGTGGCCAGGGACCCACACAAGAAGGTCAGCGAATTTGGATTTACTAATTGAGACAGGTGCTACAGCAGTCCAGCCTTGTCCTGGGACAGTCTCGGGGGCTTCCTGTAGGAGGCGGCCTTTGAGTGGCATCTCAAAGGGATAGATGGATTCAGAGTAGAGGATCCTTAGGAAGTGAGAATGCTAAGATAGGATGGGTAGGAGGGTTGCTGATCTAGCTTCTAGTAGGACAGGAAGGGAATGGGAGAGCTGGGAGTGGGAGGGTCACAGAGGCCAGGCATGGCTGAGAAATTGTCTTCCAGAAGAAAAGGGCCGTGTCCGTGGTTGCAGGAGAGCTGGCTTGGAGCGGAGCCTGGAGGCTGAGAGAGGCAGGGCAGGGGTTGGCCGATGCGAGAGGGACCAGAGAAGGAGTTTAAGCTGGGAGCTGAAACAGGAGATGAATCCCGGCTGCCAATGCAGATGACTGGGGGAGAGGGAGGACTCCCTGACTGGGCAGAGGGGACTGGGTCACAGGTGCCCAGGTAGCAGGGAGCACAGCAGAGAGTAGCCAACCGCCCCCGCCCTTCCCCTCATCCCCAGTGCCTGCTGCACCGCAACACTGGGCATGACCAGACCCACAGTTACCCAGGGACTGAGATGAATGACGTGCCAAGATGGCCTGGTAGGGGCTGGCACTGCGGCAACACAAGTCAAGTCTCAGCCTGTTCCAAGTTCCAGCGTCTGGTTCAGGTTCCGGCGTCTCCACTGCTAACCCAACTCCTTGCTGAAGCACCTGGAACAGCAGTGGAGGCTGGCCCAAGTGCTCAGGCCCAGGCACCCATGTGGGAGACCAGGAGGAAGCTCCTTGCTCCTAGTTTCAGATCTGTTCAATTCCAGTATTGAAGCCATCTGGGGAGTGACCCAGTGGATGGAGGATCTCTCTGTCTTTGTCTCTCCTTCTCTCTATGTAATTCTGAATTTTAAGTAAATAAATAAATCTAAAACAAACAGATGACCTGATGGCTCAGGATCCATTGGGACAACCCTGGATAAGGAGGCAAAGCAGAAGGGAGGAGGGGAGAGGAAGAGGAGGAAGAGATGAGGTGTTCCCTCTCACAGCTGACTGCAGGAGACCAGAAAGAGGCACAAGCAGGTGATGGAGACGCCAGTTAGGACACCCTCAGCTCTGTTCATTCCAGCTGCCAGCCATGCACACCTCAAGAACTTGGGGGGAGAGTGGTCCCCGCCACCCACATGTGAGGCCCGGATGGAGCTCCAGGCTCCTGGCTTCTGCCTGGCCCAGCTCCCTTGCTGTTCATGCAGGATGTGAACTAGCAGATGCGGGATCTGGCTGCCTTTTGAATAAATAAAGAAAAAGAGGCAGTGTCAGGGCAGGAGTCGTGGCCCGTGGGAAGGCACACGTGGCCCTAGCAATGGCCAGGGCAGAGGGACGGAGGCAAGAGAAGGCAAAGACTGAGTGACGGAAACCACCTCAATTTAAACCCCGTCGCCACCGCGCAGTTGGTACTGCTCCCTCAGCGTTCCCGTTTCCTCAAGGGTGAAGCCAGGATGAAACAGTTTCCACTCAGAGTTTTCCTGAAGCTGTCCCGGAGGTCACAAAGTAGCACGTCTGCCACTCATCCCCGGCCCCGCCCCTTTTGCCCAGGTCCCGCCCCACCGGAGTCCAAGCCCCGGGCCTGGCCACGCCCCTGCTGCCCGGGTCTCGGTCCCCACAAGCTCCGAGGTGCCAAGTCCAGAGGGGCTGCGTCATCCGAGCAGACCCAGCACCCCCATGGCCCCGCTAGGACCCCGCTTCCTGCGGGCCGCGCTCTGTGGTGGCTGCTGCTGCCTGCTGCTGTGCGCGCAGCTCTCTGCCGCTGGTAAAGTGGGGAGGGGCCCTAGCTCAGGGCAGGTGGAGCGCATCCACCTACCCGCTAGGTATTCTCCCAAGAACCCTCTGGGATCGGGATCGCGGGAGGTGCAGGGCTCCGGCAGGGAGCAAAGGGCCCGCCGCTGGGTGTGTGTGTGGGGAGGGGACTGCAAGCGCCTCTGGGGACCCCAGGTGTGTGACAGAGGGAAGCCTGGACACTGTTGGGGTGTGACCTTGTGGGGTGCCAGCTCTGGGCCTGTACAGAGGGGCAGGTACTGCAGCTTTCCCCACCCCTACCTCTGCTCCCAGGTAAAGGAGCCCCCGGCTTTGGAAGGGGAGCTCTGCTCCGCCTCAGCGTCCGACCTGCCGTCGCGGGGACCTGTCAGCAGCTGGAGCCCTGTGAGCGCTGCGTACAGGCGGCCGGCGCACATAACCACTCCGGTTGTGTGTGGAGGCGCTGTGGCCCTGAGGAATCAGGTACTCGGGAGGGCGGGGTCCATGGTGAGTACCCCCAGCTGTGAGCTCCGGGGGAGGTGGGGAAGCTTCTCCCCACAATTCCTCCCTTTCCCTGTTCTGCCAGGACACTGCGTGGCCCAAGGGGAGGCGGCCAGGGCAGGTTGCTCCATCTACAACCGCTCTGAATTGTGCCCAGGTAATGGGGTCCGCCCCAGCCTCGGCCTCACTGGAGGGAGGGGGCGGAGGTGTTCCTGGAGGAGCCGGCCTTCCTCCATGTGGGATGGACAGTGCCCGGAGCCTGCCTGGGCCCAGGGCCCACTCTGCCTCTTGCACTGAGAAACTCTCGTTCTGTGGCCTGTGGCACCTGTAGATTGCCACAGGTGTGCTGAGGGGACAAGGGTCGGCGTGGAGTGGCTCCTTTTTAGGTTTGGGAGGGCTTGGAGATGTTCTGAAGGCCGTTGAGTTGGGGGGCTTTCAGTAGGAGGTGGCATCCTGAAGAGTGAAGGGAGCTGTGTGTCTTGGCCTGGGAGGGACATTCGGGGGGGTCTGATCTTACCCAGAGGGGCAGCTTGGAGCTGTCTCCAGGGCCTTGCTGAGAGTAGGGGCTGTTTCATCCTGGGCCCCCTGTCTTCCCAGCTGCCCACCACCACCCCACTGATGAGCCGGAGACCATCACGACAAGTAAGGTGCTGCCTGGGGTGGGGATGGCCAGAAGCCACTGGAAGCCAGCAGGGCTGTGGCCTGAACCCACTCTGTGCCTGCTGCTCTGGCTGCGCCTCCATGCCCGATTTGACATCCACGAGATGGATTGGACGCGGCTGACCTCCCCACAGCTGCACTGAGGGTTCCACCAGGCTGCATAGTGCCCCTCTGGTGATTCGCAAATGACAGCTCCCATCCCCCCAAGCCCCAGTCTGGGAGCTGAGTGACCCCTGAGGACCTGTCCTCCGAGTCCAGATGTATGGCTGCACCTGTCAATCAGATGGCCCTGGGGACTGCCTACTGTGACCTCCAAGACCAGAGGCTCACAAAGCAGATTCCTGGCAGAGCAGAGGCAAGAGCCCTACCCCCGGGGGCCCCATGCCCCTCCGGGCCTCAGAGGTCAGCCAACTTGGCCTGGCCAGCAGTGGCTCTTGGTTAATTAAAGCCGAAACCGGATCACTGAGGCTGAATTATTGATGGCTCAGTCAGAACCTCAGCCCTGCCTGGGGCAACTCATGTCTTCTTCCTCTCCCACAACAGCCTCCTCTGGAACCCCCTGAGCTGCAGCTAAGACCCCCCTTGGCCTTTCATATCCCTGGACCCCCTGCCACCACTCACCCCCTCTGGGGGCCCACTCATAGCAGGCATCCTATCCATGGACCCAGACGGATGCTGTACCTGCCAGCTGCCCTGCTCTAGGCGCCTGGCCCAGGGCCTGAAATTGAATCCCTGCTGGGAACCAGTGGGTAACCTGGCACAGCTGGAAGGCACTCGGACCTCACCTAGCAACTGTGACTTCATGACTGCACCCTACAGGGGGCAAGGGAGGGCTAGGGGTCTGCTTGGCCTCAAGCGTGGAGTCACTTTGGATCTGACCTGCAAAGCCTGCTTCCAGCCTTCTGTCTCGACTAAGCTGCTGACCCCGGGGCTTCTACGCCAACCTATGCTGCTTTCTAAGCGCTCAGGGCCAAGGAGGTTGGGACAAAGCCTAAGTCATGTGCTTAGCGCCCTGGCAACACGGGCCCTAGGCGCATTCTCATGCTCTCGGGCTAGTGAGAGGTAGGGAGGCTCAAAGGGAGCTGATGGCTATGGGACCCCCGCCAGACCATCAGGAGATCTGGAGAGGATGTATGCAGTGTGAGGCCATAGGGCAGCTTCGGAGTGGAGCCAGGGCTAGCCAGCCTACACACACACACACACACCCCACCCCACAGCACACATACACACTACACACCCCTGCCTGCAGTACCCTGGCCACACTCTGGAGAGCCTGGGCCCTGGTATACCTCACCTTCTCTGACCTTCACTGTGCTCTGGCCCCGTAGGGGAACCCCCAGCTCCCGAAGGCCCCAACCCTGGCTTTGACGGGGCCAGCTTCATCGGGGGCGTCGTGTTGGTGTTGAGTTTGCAGGCGGTAGCCTTCTTTGTGCTGCGCTTCCTCAAGGCCAAGGACAGCACGTACCAGACACTGTGAGTACTTGGCCAGTGCCAGTTCCATCTCCCTCCATGGCCATGTCCTCTCCTCTTCTCTTGAGGGTGTTCAGGAGGGTGGGGGCTATTTCTGCTCACCTTGGGCCTGGCATTCTGGAGCCCAGCTGAGCACCGCCCCTCTTCCCCCATATCTTCGTCCTTTGTGCTGCCAGCAGGGAGGAGAACCAGTAGGTGACGGCCTAGGCGAGTCCCCGGCATACAGATCCCTGACCCAGCACAGGAACCAGGGCCACACCCTTCTTCGGAGACCCCATGTGACAGGTGTCACAGTCCCCTTCAACGTGTCTGCTTCCCCAGCCTCTGCCTGCTCCCTGAGGCTGGGTCACCCACAGGCAGGCCTCTCAGGGGCCTCGCAGTCTGGCCTCCGCGGGCTCTGACACCCTCAAGCCATCCTCGTGGCCCCATTGCTGGCCTCCCACTTCCGGCTCCTGTGAGCACCAAGCGGGTCCAACACCTGCTGCCTGACTCCTTCTTGGACCTGGGCCTGGGCCTTGCCCGAGAGAATCCCCAGCTGCCTCATGTCCCACCTGGCCTCTGGGCCCTTCTCTACTCTCACCTCATTTTGGGCACTGCCCCAAAATAAAGCACTGTTTTCAGCCCTACTACGTGAGCTGTGTTCTAGGCTGAGTGTGGACCGCATAGAGTGGGGGTTCAGCTGCTGTCCCCTCCCAGGGATCCCAGGAGATCCACCTCCTCCTACCCCTTTCCAGAGAGGCGTAGAGACGTGGCAGGTGCTGCTTCTTGCTTGTGGGTACACAGGTGGTCAGGCAAGGCTGGGGTTCGAATCTGCACGTTTCTGACTCCAGAGCCATTGCCTTCTCTTACAACTCCCTAAAGCCATGGCTGCCCAGCATCCAGCTGGACAGCGCCCTGCAATTCCTGGCAGGCCCTGTCCATTGCCACTACCCCTAGCCACAGCAGTTCTCTGATGAATAACACTTGCCACTCACTGGGCACTTGCTGGGAGTTGGGCATAGTGGTGAGGGTTCTACTTTTCCTTTTCTTAAAGATTTACTTTGTGGGACTGATGCTGTAGCATAGAATACTAAGCGTTCATTTGCAGTGCTGGCATCCTGTGTGGACACTGATTTATGTCCCAGCTGTTCCACTTCAGATCCAGCTCTCAACTTATGATTTGGGAAAGCAGCAGAGGCTGGCCCAAGTGCTTCAGGCCCTTGTACCCACATGGGAGACCAGGAAGAAGCTCCTGGCTGCTGGCTTCCAATTGGCTCATGTCTAGCCAGATGGAAGATCTCTCTGTCCTTTCTTTTTTCTCTGTAAATCTGCCTTCAAATAAAAATAAATGAAGCCTTAAAAAAATATATATTTTATTTATTTGAAAGGCAGAGTGACAAAGAGAGAGGGATAGACAGAGAGATCTTCCTTTGTTGATTTGTTCCCTAATGGCCACCACGGTTGTGGCTGGGTGGAAAGCCAAGCTCCCAGAACTCTGTCAGAGTCTCTCAGATGGCTGTCAGACCATTTGGGCCATCTGCTGCTTTCCTAGTGCACCAGCGGAGGGCTAGATCAGAAGCAGAGCAGCCAGGACTTGAACCGGTGCTCCAGCATGTGTCCCAGGTGGCAGCTTAATTGGCCCCACCACACCCTGCTGCTTTGTGTTGATCTCACGGGCTCCTGCGTGTGGAGTTGAGGGGTGGAGAGTCATGGTTGAGGGCTCCGTGCTGGGAACTCGGGGTGAGTCAGCAAGTGGTTTCTTGTCCCTGAGCTTCAGGGTCCTGGTCTGGGCAGGTGGGATAACGATGATCTCCACCTGAAGGGGATGTGGCAGGTGCACACACTCTGGTGTTTCAGGATGCCGAGCCACCCTTTCAGTCGGGCAGCCTGCAGCAGGTGCCTTTCGCGCCTCCTCCCCTCAACCAACCCCTGTCTGCCTCTGGGGTCTCCCAGGGAGCCTGGGGTCCACAGTTAGTCTCAGCACTGCTTGGCCTCAGAGAGGCACCTGTGCCAGTCACAGTCCACGTGACCCACCCTCCAACACTCAGTCTCCCAGCTGGCAGCTTCCTGCTCCCAGCCTTCCCAGTATTTGCTTTTCTTCAAGGCTTTGCCCTGGTGCCTCCTCCTGCCAGGGTCACCCTCCCTGCCTTATTCTGCAAGCAGAGTCTTCCTTTTTTATTTCAAAAGCAATAAATGTGGTATAGTAGACTAAGCTGCCACCTGAAACATTGGCACCCAATATTGCAGCACAGTCTGAATCCCAAGTATACCACCTCCAACCCAGCTTCCTTCTAGTGCAATGGGAAAGCAGTGGAAGGTGGCCCAAGTACTTGGGACCCTGCACCCCTGTGGGAGACCCTGATGGAGTTCCTGGCTCCTGGCTTCAGATTGTCCCAGCCCTGGCTGTCACAGCCATTTGGGGAATGAACCAGCAGATGGGAGATCTCTCTCTCTCCCTCTTTATAGCTGCCTTTCAAATAAAAATAAATATATTTTAAAAAGAAAAAGGCAGTCATTGCCATGAGGGAAAGGATCAGGGGGATTAGAAGGGAGCAGTACCTCCTGCTGGCGCCTAGGCTGCCTGTGAGGGGGAGCCTGGGGATTCATGCTGGGGCAGCGGCGTGTGTGTGGGTGTTAGGGTCCCAGGTTAGCATGCTGGCATTGTTGACGGGGCTTGGGGACTCATTAATATGCTTGAGTCCTGGGTGAATGGGGGGGGGGGTAAGGTCCCAGGCTGGCACATGTGCCACAGGACTGGATCTGGGGTCTCGGGTGGGCAGCCCAACACACCAACCCACCAGAAAACCGGGCTGGGGAACCCATGAGCTCATAGGTGCAGGGGCTATGGATTGGTCATGGAAAAGGGACGTGTGAGAGTGGAGAACAGGTGAGGAATGACTTCTAGGAAACTACCAACAGGGCCGCTGTACTTGCAGGTAAGTAAGGGGGCTGAGCCCCAAAGGTATCAAGGAGGAAAATAAGGATCTTTCTGGGTCAGACCAATGCACCTGACCATGTGGAAGACTAGAGCTGAGCTAGTTAGCATCACCCACTGCCAACCAGTGCACATGAAAACTAGGGCTGGGGAGCCTAGCTGGCAGGGCTAGACCACAGTGCCTGTTAATGAGTGTTCAACAAGGGATGGGTTGCGTCAGGCTGGGCCATGACACAAACCAGCACATGAGAGAACCAGGTCTGGGGGCAGATTCAGAGGGGAATATGTGGGTTCGCACATGTGAGACTGCATTATTCTCTGGTTTGCTCAAGAACTGAGGGTGGTAACAGACCACACTAGGTATAACCATTGTAGTCGCCATCACCCATGAGTACTGGAGTTCAAAACAGACCAGGCTAGTCCAGACTGCAGTACCTGCAGGTACACTGAGGAAGTAGGAGTTGGCGGTGCAGTGTGATGGCTCAGTGGGTAAATCCTCACCTTACAAGTGTCTGCATCCCATATGGAAGACAGTTCATGTCCTGGCTGCTCCACTTCCCATCCAGCTCCCTGCTCATGGCCTGGGAAAGCAGTGGGAGATGGCCCAAGGACTTGGAACCCTGCACCCACATGGGAGACCTAGAAGAGGCTCCTGGCTCCTGGTTTCAAATTGTCTCAGCTCAGCTCTGGCCATTGTGGTCACTTGGGGAGTGAACCAGTGGATGGAAGATCTTTCTCTCTGTGTCTTCTTTTCTTTATATATCTGCCTTTCTGATAACAATAAATAAATCTTAAAAAAAAAAAAAAGAATTGGGAGTGGGGCAGACTGGACCACATCAACCAGCACACACAAAGACCAACACTGGAGGTGGAGTATGCCTCCTAGCACACCCTGGCACGTGTGCGATTTGGGTCTTGAGGTGATCCTGGTGGGGAAACTTGGGAACTCCCATGTTAGCTGTAGCTCCTGCTGGTGAACACATGAGTCAGGGTTGGGTGTTGGTCAGGCTGGACAAGGCTGCTCTACCTGTTGGCAGGTATATGGGTTGGCTCTGTGATGGTGTACTAGGTAGGGCTGGGCCAAACAGTAGCACACTTATATGCACAGGAACCAGGACAGGATGTGGGCCATGCCAGGCTAGGCTACCACACCTACCTGTTTGCATGAAAGTCAGGGATGGGGGCAGGTTGAGCAGGGCTAGGCTGCAGCACTCACCAGCGAGAGTTGGGAATAGGCCAGGCTGCAGCATCCAAAGGCAAAGGCCAAGACAGAGGATGGGCTATACCAGGACGAGTTGGAGCAACTGTGAACATGCATAAGATCTGTGGCTGGGAGCAGGCCTGGTCGGGGAGCTAAAAGGATGTCCCTGCTGGGCTGATATTCCCAATGGTGAGTGTGAAAGCAGGAACAGAGTGGTGGTATGGGCTGGACATGGTTGTAGCATCCCTCGGCATGGGTGTAGACTGGGTCTGGGGTGTGCCAGTCTGGGCTAAGCTCCAGCACCCACTGGTGCTCGCAAGAGCCAGGGTGGGTATAGGACAGGCTGAGCTAAGTCTCAGCATCTACTGAGCCACATGAAAGGTAGGTTTGGAGGTGGACCAAGTGGGATTGGCTTGTAGTACCCAATAACAAGAGCCAGAATGGTCGTGGGCTGGTTGGGCAAGGCCACTGTATATGCCAGGACATGAGGTGGGCCAAGTTACGCTGGGCAAAGCACCCACCAGCAAATGTAATACCTGGTGGTGGGAAGGTGAGCCCAGTAGGGAGGCTGTGGAAGTTTTCCTGCTGGGCCACTGTTCCTGCTGGTAAGCATGAGAGCTGGGACTTGGGTGATGGGGGGAAGGGAACCAGGCTTGGCAGAGTTACAGCACCTGTTGGCCTGCATATGAACTGTATTAGGGGGAGAGTCAGGCTGGACTAACAAACTATACCCATTGTTGCGTACAGGAGCCAGAGTAAGGGCAGGATAGTTGGACTTTGCCTCAGCATCAGCTAGCCAGTGCTGAGATTGGGAGCTAAACCATAGTACCACCTGCAAAGTGCAAGATCCAAGGCTAGGAGTGGGTCTAGTAGGGAAACTGTGGGCACCCCT